TATATATATATATATATATATATATATATATATATACAGATAGACAGACACAACACCATAATTAATACAGTGCACCCCATAAGACGTTTCTGCATTCAATAGTTTGCGAGCGAAAGTTCTGAGCATCTGCTATGAGCCACCATAAGCTTCCGTCTGGGGTCGTTTAATTCAATTTCAAATAAGGGAAGCAGGATGTTTAAATGATTATTACAGAGAAATAAACAAAAAGGATGGCTGCAAAAATAAAGCATTGAAGAAAAAAAAAGATGATTTTGAAGTTGACTTACCTCTGTTATCTTTGAGTGAGAAATTTTGGTTGTTGGCAACTTCGGGAGCAAGGCTGAAAGTGAAATGTTGTCTGTGGACCATCTCGTCTTTGTCCACTGCGCTGACTGTTTCTATAACCTAGATTATACACACAGGAGGCATTAAAATGAGACAGTTACGCTTAGACATTAGCATCAAACCCAAACACATTTGCCTTTTGGAATGTTAGCATTGCCTAGCGTAGACAACCGTACCTTCCCTGGTTCCGCAGTTTCACACATAAGGACTTCGTTGTTGGTGGCAAACTCTGGAGGGTTGTCATTTACGTCTTTCACTATGATGTTAACTCGCACTTTGGTGTCTTGGTGGTGACCTCCTGTGTTACATCAAAAGCACAGGGCATATTAATTAGTACACTGTTACTAACAGACTAAGCAGTGACATAAACATTAAAGTGAGAAAATCTTTTGTTATTGGATCTCTGATTGACTGTTCATAAAGCTATTGTTTGCGTATTATTATTATTTGGGGATAACAGTCTGTCACTAGCCTGCTATTTGTTATTCTAATTTGTTATTTTTAAGGAACAATATTTTAGTATATCTGTCTGCAGCTCATTGAGTCTTGGCTATTACATTGATGTATTAAAGAGCAGACAGGTCAGGCTTAAAGTTGTGGACTTTAATACAGGCTTAGCTGATAAAAACAAAAAATAAATCACAAGTTTTGAAGATGTTATATATTCCATCTTCCCGAAATTGATAAGGTGTGTCTCGGAACCAAGAAATAAGCATCTAAACGCCAAAATCTCGTAATTCAAAGATGCAGCCTTTGGCTTCATACAGATTCTATGAATCTAGCTTGTAGAACAGGGTTCTTCAACTCTATGTCTGGAGGTCTGGCACCCTGCATCTTGTAGATGTGTCTTTGCTTGAGATAACCAGGTCATTTAAAGAACTCTGATGAACTTTACTGCATACAAAAAGAGGTATTCAATAAATTTTATTCAGGTCAGGAAGCAGAAGCACATCTAAAAGATGCAAAACACAGAAACACATGGACTGGAACTGAAAACCTATGATCTAGAGTGGCACGTATGAACTTGATGTTAAAAGAAAGTCACAATACATCAGAACTTACGTCAAAGACACCAGAAACATGTGGGGGAGGGTGCTCTGATTATACTAAACTGAAATGGAACTTTCTTTTGTAAAAATGCTAAGCGGTAACTGGGCAAACAACACTCCATGAATGTCCCAATGTGGAGAGAATTTGCCTCTTAACACCTCATGGCAAAGTTAAGCAAAGGATGGGATAGGTTTGCCCTCTTTTTAAAACAAAAGAGTTATGTTTTAATAAGGTTAATCAATCAATCAATCAATCAATCAATCAATCAATCAATCAATCAATCAATCACTTTTAATCATCTGAGGTGGTACATTTTATAGTGGTACATTTTTTAGCCTTTTTTGCAGAGTAAAAGTACAAGATGGTGAAACCATCAGGCAGTGGGATGATTTCCTGAATGAAAACAGAAGATAGAGAGAGATGAGGAGAATGTTTTAAAACAAAGCATATCCACATGTTTAGGGTGACCAAACGTCGGTATTTCCCGGGACATATCCGTATTTCACGTCCTGTCCCGGGCGTCCCGGGTTTTTTTTAGAAAGTGAGGAAATGTCCTGATTTTTTAAATTACCTTAATTGGACCATTAAATTTACAGGCGCTAGGGCACTGCACACGGCGCTGCGTGTGACGTAATCCCTGAGCCGCGTCAGTGCAGGCAGCCCTGTTCTTAATCAGAATATAGATAGCGTGGCTGTCAGTACACCAACAACATGCAAAAGCGCAAATGTATGTTTACCGACGATTTACAAAAGAGTTTCCCTGCTTTAAGACCGGGTCGAGACACATTGGAGGCCTTGTGCACAGTGTGCAAAGCAGGCACATATGTCTCGGGTGTTCAATGGAGGTGCAAGGAATCTGAAAAGCCACCTGGACACCGAAAGTAAAGATAGTCTATTGATATGTTTGTCGTTTTTGGTACATTTTGAGTTATTTTTGCTACAAGGTGTCCTGGTTTTCCCAAATGAAAATATGGTCACCCTACACATGTTAGTATGGTCGGTCTAAGTCTAGGCCTTCACTGAGCCAGAGGTACAACTGTCATGATCTTGGAGCTGATGGTTCGCCAGGTTTTTCAAGCTTTTTAGTTAGACTAAGTCTAGCTTTCTGGAGTCTGTTCTGTTTTCCTGATTGCGACCTGTTTCTGCCCTGTGGATCCTAAGTTTTGCCTTGCCCGTGTCTGCTCTGTTTGTCTGATCTGTTTTGGAATGATTCTTGGATTCAACCGGTTTCTGAACCTGGACCTGTGTTCTGACTCCGGCTTTGGATTTCCCCTTTGGACACTGTTGCTGCTGAAACTGAAAGAGCTTAACCAAAATCTTGATGAAAACTAGTTCTATAACATAAAATGTAGGTTTAACATATTTTTGTGTGTAATGGGACAAATTTTGTAAGAGTTAAAGATTAAATATTTTTGCAGGTATACTTTTTATATTCAATACGAGGCTGAGATAATCAAAATACAGATTTGAAAGACAAAAAAAAGGATGTGAAGCATTTTCATGTTGCAGAGTTAGAAATATTTGTTGAACTTTTCAGTTTAGGTTTTATACTACCCTGTCATTACTGAGCATTTATTTAGGCTTCCTGGGGTCTAAATGTGGTTAGCATAGCCTACAGTACTTCTATCATTGTGGGCTGCTGGTCCGTTTCCATGTGTCCATCTGGCGTCATGCACGCCACAAGGAAACTAAATGGCGCTCTGCTAGGCTGAGCCCTGACCACCAAATACCAGGGTGAGGCCACAGCAGCCTGTGAAGTTTTCTGCCAGTACAGTTTAGAAGAATCTTCACACTGCTTGTGGCTTGACAAATCTCACTGATTCTCCTTTCTCTGTAATTTTATTTTTCCCCTTTCATTCTTCTGCTATTCAAGATAAATTTACTGAGTGTAAAAAATATACTTCTTCTGAAAAGAGGGGAAACATTGGGGTCTTCTACACCTTCAGAGAATTCCTAAGAAATTCAAAAGAGCCACTTTCAGAATGTTATCAGCACAAATGATTCTATCTCTGATCATTATGACCCTTCGGGTTGGTTTGGGGAGTGATAGGCAAACTGGACAATCACTGTTTTATTCTGTGCTGGCAAAAAAAACAAAAAAAAACAAAAAACATTGAGCTTTTCTGAAGTCTAATCAATGTCATTGTCATTCTTGAGTAGAGCGGTGAGAGCAAAATTGAGAGTACGAGAGTTCAGTGGCGGTAATGAGTGGCTAGCTTGCTAAAAACACCTTTTTGTCAAGGCAGCCTTTTCGTGAAAAAACAACAAATTATAAATATAATATAAAATAAATATCAGAAGACCGACTCCAGAATTAGATTTGGAGAAAAATAAAAGTGGAAAGGCATTTTAAGGCCTAAAAATTCCAGCGCTACCCATGGATGACTGGCTGTAGAGAAACAAAGTTTCCTTTTATTTTTTAGCTGGACCTGCTGAACCGGACCAACTGCAACCAGGGAAGCTAACCAAATTTTTTCAGCTTCTTTACGGTTTAATGGTTTTAGCTGCATTTAACATCTCTGTATAAGGGTTTATTCAAAAATGTCTGCTGTTATTTTTAAAGGGCACTTTTAATATATTAAGCCTTAAAAGTTGAACTCAGACACTCTTGAACTGACCTTTAAACCCCTTTTTGTATGGTAACACATGACGTTCTGTATATGAGCAGCAAGAAAAAGGAAAAAAAACTAAAATAGTCCCCTTTATATATTCACTGAGGCCCAAAATAATAAAAGAGTAATGGTGCACTTGGTTGTTCACACATTGCTTTTTTTTCCTATGAGCAGCTTTACTATAACATCCTAGTGTTAAAACTTTTAAATACACCAAATACACAACTATTGTACATGTACAAAACATCAACAGCATAAATTAAGTATTACTTTCAAAGATTGGTGAAGTTTTTAATAGCTGTGTTTACCAGTGTTGTTTTTACAGCCATTTTAGATTTAGTCTTAGTCTTCAGGATGAAAACTATAATTAGTTTTAGTCGTAATTTAGTCAACTAAAGCTTAAAAAGTTGAGTGAGTTAACCTTTACAGTTTTGAATAACAACCAGATTCTTTACCAGACTAAAAGCTCTTGCCTAGATACTACAATTGCTGTACATAGAATGCTGCTGTGCAGCTCATCATTGCTGTTGGGCAGAAGACTTTGATTTATAGAATTCAAATAAACTTTTATATTAATCAATGCCCTACTTTATACAAAAGTGTCTCACAAAACCTGTGAAAATAGCAGTTCTAGTTCAACACATCCTATTGGTTAATATAGCAGACAGAGAAGTTAACAAAATGTACAATAAAGGAATGGTTTTAGACATACGAGGTTTCCATTTAAAAGCAAATACTTCCTGATCTACTATGAGTTATGCATTACACACAGATCAATGAAATCTTCGTTGTTCCAAAAAAGCAAAGAATGAAAACATTTGTCTTTCTACTTTGATAATTTTGGTTTTATTTCATGAATTTGCCCCTTGGTTACTGCTGCTCGGGGGACAAAGTAGATTTAAATTCACAGGGTTTTGATATAACCAGAGATAACCTACAAAGATTGCGTCGTAATGCCATGGCAATCCGGAACTAAATTGAATGAATATGCTAACTAAAATCTTGACATATTCAAAGGAAACATAGAAAATGTTTTAATGAAAATACAAGTAAACATTTACATAATAAGAAAGAAATATTCAAAGATCTATGTGTCTTTTTACCTGGCTCTTTACCCAAAAATAAACAGTTTGCAATTACATATTTTCTTTGGATATAATAAAGGGATACCTTTAGGTAGAAATTAAAGAATGTTTAGTATCACCTCTTGTGAGCTGGAAGAAATAAAATCTTGATAGTTAGACAAAGCGATTTTTTACGCTTGGCAACGGATGATCAGCCACATAGTTTATTAAGTAGCGAGGGCAGGAAGGGTCATAATGCTGAGAGCGAACAATCAGTGTGGAGCATAAAACGCAGACTCTGAGCTACATGCGTGCAAAAACGCATTTCTGCACAAGCACAGCTGGAAGATCTGCCGCTACATGATTCATCTGCGGTCATGTAGAATCTACACCACTGCACAGCAGGTGGGCACAGCTGATACTGTTTAACTTGTCTAACAGATTACAGCACAATGATGCATTGTAAACATCTGACCGACCACCCGCTAATATTTATTTAGTCTCGTTTTGTTGATGAAAACTCAAACCCCCTGACTCGTCATTTTTTTTTTGTTATCAAATATCCATGTTTAGCTCAACAGTTTTCGTTATCGTCATGAAAAAAAGGAGTCAACGAAATAATTTCTTTATTGTCATTATTGATGAATACAACACTGGTGTTTACCTACCTATTATCTAGGGGTTATAAAACTACAATGACCACGGTAAATATACATAAAGACTTGCACTGTTTAAACAATGAGTATATTTAACTTAAACCACTGTTTATTGTCCAAATGTAAGCTATTCAGTGTGGTACTACACTTTCCCACTAGAACACTGGTGTTGGGCACCTTTTTTTTTGCCGGACTTGACTTCAACTAAGGAGGAAATTAAACCTTTTGATTCATCTTTGTTGGATTGGGGAGTTCATAAAATGTTTAAAAGTTTAAGGGGTATAAATGTTTTTGCAGGGTAAGCTGTAGTGATAGTGTATGCCTGTGAGTGCTAGGGTATGTACCAATCTCTGTAGCCGAAACAGAAATATTGTGCCACGGCTGCGTCTCTCTGTCCAGTGGTCTGGTGGTGGTGATCATTCCATCTTCTGAAATGCTGAAAAACTGCTCAACGTCCGTGTACCGAGGAATCATGTATCTGTTTATGAAAATAATTGCAATTACATTTTAGATATTCATGCACTTTGACACTTGGCAGTTTGGCCATAATGAGGTTAAGCTGCTCATTGAAAAGAAAAAGTGTCAAACCATTATACAGTATGTGGGAACCCTGCTTATTCTGGTATTTTAAGGTTGTACTCTCTCAGAACTAACAGTGAAATTGTATTTCTTTGTTAGGCTTGTATACTTCTTGTTACCTGACAGGGTTGTTGGCAACATCAGTGTCCTTGGCATGAACTTGTCCCACCCGGGTGCCCTGAGGGGCATTCTCCTCCACCACAAAAGTGTAACTGGGAGCTGTAAAAACAGGAGGCTCATCTGCATCCTCCACAGATATCTGCACACATGAAAACATGAAAACACCAACAAGAAACAAATGCTTCTGTAATGTTTGCCATTTTAAAACATGAAAACAAATGAGCAAACCTTGCTCTTCTAAGCTGATTGCGCTCACAATGAAATGCATATGATTGACTATTCTGCCCCTGTTTACAGAAACACTTTACACATACCTTGATGGTGGCCTCATCCTTGTAAGGTCCCCAAGCAAGAAATCGAGAATCTATGTATGGGTTGGACCCCTCCACCTTTAACGAGTACGACCTCTTTGTCTCAAAGTCCACTTGCTGAAAAAAATTGAGAAAATGAATTGTCATTACTTCACTTTGAAATGTAATAGCAGCTGTAAATGAACACAAACCCACTGCCATTCTTGCTTATACTAAAGAACAGAAATAATATCCATCCCCTGCAGAAGCTGTATTGGTTTTGCAAACTGCATGGCTGTTAAACGCTATGCTTCCATGTTATGGTAGGTGGAGCTGTTGCCACATGAATTAATCATTGGTGCCTCTGATGTCCAGCCATAAGAATTAAATAAAAAGACTTTGAATTTAAAGGTGTTCCTGGTGTGTGATAATGACATGATATAAGTGGATTATTTCTGGAATTAAATTAATCAATTGGAATTAAGTTGATTAAATTTATTGGAATTAAATTTAATTACTTTTGTCCTAGCCGCTTTCATCATCAGACAAAAACAACAGTGATTTCTATTTCTCAGGGTAGATTTAGGCAGAACTGTAATTGTTAAACCTTGTTATAGCCGAGGGTGGACAGGCCATCTGCTGTCACGTATGCAGCTCAACTGAGTCGCCCCACTAAGTAAGCAGTGCTTTTCTCATTAATCTAGCTCTGTCCTGTAGGTGGCAGCAATGCGCTTTAAAGTTATGACATCTGCCAGTGGGGCCCATTTGTGGAGTACAGGAAGAAGTTTTTCCTAAAGTATTTGAAAATGGATGGTGTTACAAAAAAAAAAGAAGGAAAAGCTGAAGAGGCAAGGGAAGAAAGAAGTGACATTTAAAAGTTGAAGCTGCTAAATGCTGCAAACATAGTGAATTGCTCTGGAGAGGCACAGCCAGCAGCAGCTGTGCCACAGTGACAGTTCAGGAAGCGAGGTGATGATGATGATGAGGGACAGAAAAATGAGCCGGTGGACGTTGAGGTCTGCCGCTCCAAACAAGTACAGAATATTTATGATTAACTGACTGTACAGATGATGTTTTGAGTTGGACTTTCTCTCTCAAAAATGTGTTAAACATTTTTTTTTTCTCCATTTCAAATAAAATAAAGACAAGCTGCTTTCGAGACTGCAATGAAAGAATGGAGGAGCTTCACAACAAGAGTCTAGCATCCAGATTGTTAAGGCATCTTGACCGGCATTTGACCCAGTGTCCCAGTTTTAAAATGTAAGAGTTATTGACACCCAGAATTTTATTTTTTGTAGAACTTTTTTTTTTCTGCTTTCATGTCATTACTACGGTGGCCCTGAAGTGCAAACTGCAACTACAAATCTAAAAGCGCAACTACATTAAGAAAAACAAAACTACATTAACCTACCGGAAAAGGTAGGTACCAGTGGGAAACATGAGACATCGCTGATTGGACGACGGCGCCGTTTGACCCTTGAACCGGAAGTTGCGTCGTCTGAACAGTCCAGCTTCTTTTAAGTGTGTCTTCAGTGTACGCAAACTAACGGAAATTTCGTGATTAGTCTTGAGCATATCCAGTATCACCTCGGACGTATTTCCTGATTCAAAATATTCCAGGATAACGGCAGCTATGTTTGGGGCGCCGACAATATCCATGTTTTCAAAAGCCGCAGCAGGCAGAATGACTTCCGGTTCGACTGTCTCGGTTCGGTTCGCGTGTGTTGTGTTCGGTTCATGCGCTGCTCCTTTTTCTCATAGGCGAAGCGTTTACACTCCAGAGCAGAAGCTGGCGGTACTGCGACCAAAGCCAACCACCAGTAGTAAACAAGAAGAAGAAGAAGCAAAGCAGCGTAGCCGGGTGTAGCAGGGGAAAAAATCAGTTGTTGTGGAGAATTGTGTCGGAATGGCGAGTGGGAAAGAACAGGAGTTGGAAGACACGCCAGCAGCACTTTATAGGTCTGCTGTATGGGACCACTTTGCATTTAGAGTGACCTACGATGACGGCGGAAAGAAAGTTGTGGATAAAAGTGCAACAGTGTGCAAGCATTGTGCAACACGTTTTGTTTATGCTAATAGCAACATGACCAACATGTCATGCTAACCCTGAAATCCCTCATACTGGCTCCTGTCTGCTCCGCTCTGAGTTCCTTGGAGATCGTAGAGAGCATGCGCCAGATGATTAAATTCAAAGCAGCAAAACATGCGGAAATGATCCAGGGTTTCCGCGAATCATTAAAAATAATTACAATTCATTATTTATTAATTTTTTCATTAATTTCATAAAAAAAAATGTCATTAATTTTTATAATTTTTATTAATTTTTGTATTTTTCGGTGTAACAATAAACATATACTGGACCGAACCGAAAACCGTGACCACGAAACCGTGAACCGAACCGAACCGTGGATTTTGTGAACCGTTCCACCCCTAATATATATATAAATAGTAAATAAATAAATCTTTAAATTAGTAATTTAAAATTCCGATCGTTGCTAGCTTAACTTAACTTTTTTCTGTTAACATTTTTCTGTAAATGACCAATCAGAGGACAGAAAATGCTGACATAAGGGTGGGCCCTCTAGATGGCCCAGTGGGGGCATATCTGAAATCTGATTGGTTGAAGAAAATAGTCCTTGCTAACAGAGGCTGAAATCTGATCGGACAAAAAATATAGCAACTAAATAAATATATTGGAAGTGCCGCAGCCATGGATTGTTTGGAATAAATAAATACATAATACCAAATTAAAGTTTAGGTTATGACTGTAGGTCAGTGTTTCTGATAGATTTTAGATCAGCTGTGAAGGCCTTGAAGGCCACCAATATAAAAACAGTTATGCTTAGTTGCTACAGTTCATCATGTCTATGGAATAATAACTCTCATTGTAATTAAAAGTGTCTTTGCAAGTAGATGCTCACACTCACATCTGTTTTCATGCTTGATCTGATGATGCCATTTTAACTTGAAAGTGTTATCTATGCATGCTAAGCAGTATGTGCGTGTGCATGCATGTGAGATCATGAGGTTTAGATTCATCCCAAGGGAAATCAAAACCTTTTGTGTCCTGAAGAGATCATCAAAAGAAATTAAAAGCAAGCTCGTACCTTTGCACGCTCACATGCATGCACACACCCTCATGCATGCATACACACTTTTAAATCCGCACTATGAGTAGCCGTTACTCATCTCTATTCTCTCCTTCTCATAGACAGACACACAGGGATGAGCTTTAATCAACTATTCTCTTTTAACTGTGTCCTGACGAAAGCAGTCTACAGAATATGAAGGAGCCTTGTGTGCAAGTGTGTGCGTTAACTTCAGGGAGAAAGAGGGGGATTATTATGAATATCATCATATCAGACTGATTATCAAAAGAGGGAGAGAATAAGAGGGTGGTGACAGGATGAGAGGGAGGCAGGGACAGAAAAGAGAAAATAAAAAAAGTTGGTCACATCTTTGCTGGGTTTTTTTCTATACCCGTAAATTATACTAATCATATTTATCAGGAATATAATGTGTGTGTCCTTTAAAAAAGAGGTTACTCTCTGATAATGAGTTAGATCCCATAAAACCCTGTGGACTTTATTTGTCAAAATGGTAATCTTAATTGAATACAGGAGAATTTATGCAGTATGCACAGAATTACATACCTTGACATGTGGGTTTTCATAAACCGTTCCATCCCTATATATATATATATATATACAGTATATATACATCATCAGTCATATTTACATCTCTTTTAATCCTTTTTTTTTTCAAATCAGCATCAAAAAACACATTTTTGTAAGATTTCACTTACCAAATGAGGATCAGGTAACAAACCTTAAGAATTGTCAAAAGCTGCTCACTTAAACCCCTGATCCACCAACACAGGGCTGCCTACTTGTAGCTTGTTTGCAAGAATCTGTTTATGCAACTTTTTTTTTTGTATTTGTAGTGGCAGGAAACCGACGTGCAAGTGTATTACTACAACCTGTAAGGCTAAAGTGAGAAAGTTGGTCTTACTCTGGGTAATAATATTGATATCAAAACTTGTTTTTTTTTTGTTTTGTTTTTTTTTTGCATTTAGAACTTTTTAAAACTGCAATTATATTGCAAAGAAATACACTTCATGCCCTAAATTTGTACTACGCTGCTTTTCTCTGTACAGATTGATTTTTGAAGCCAGATAAACTTTAGTATTTAATTATCTAGAAACACAAAGAGGTAGAAATGTATCTTTACTTTGCTAATTTAGGCATAATTTTGGTTGAAATAAATCATTTTAGTTTTTCCCTAAGAAAATCTGAATATAAAAAAAAGAAGGACCCATAAAAGAAGGTCATTTATTTAAGGACTGTGGGTCCACAAAAAAACTCAAATCAATGGTTAGTAATGAATATGCCTTTCATTCTAGATTAGGCCTCTTTCTGTTTTAGGTGCCGCTTCATTTGGGAGATTGCTTCTCTGTTAGATACTGGCCCCAGTTTGTCCTACAGAGCAAGTTGCAGTCTGACAGCCACATCATAGAGCTAACGTTTGTGGACAACATTTGTTTCTTCTTTTGTTTGTTTGAAATGTGTTTTCTGAGGACATGCTCCTCTGAGTTCCATCAACAATCAGCTGCCATCCCTGGCTGCTAGCAAAGCTGCAGCTTTCATGGCATCAGTAAAAGGGTTGGTAATCCCTCATTATTCAAATAGAGTTGCTGAAAGTGGCCCATGAGAAACTGTCATGACTGAAGCAGATGGTACAGGCCAGTCATCCTGTCCGTCCTAATGGGAAATGAGAGATGTCTTACAAATTGCAGCTCTACCAGGACAGCAGTGCATTTGAGCTCAATGATACGTGGCTAAAAGCGTTAACTCCTCACACACATGAATGTTTATCATCTACTCAGGGTCAGTGGAATCAAAGTGAGGGGTAAAAAAGGGGCTGGCTGCTTTTTTAGAATTAAAAAATGATGGAACTCCGGACATAAATCAATTCTCCTTTCCCACTGGACAAAAAACATTTTAAACCCGGGAGCAATCGTCTTTTAGTGGCAGTGGGAACAGCTCGCTGACATATGTCTACCTGGTTGAAACGACTCGCCTTGGCTCTGGTTGTGATCTGATCGTGATCTAAATTACGTGATAGCATTGAACGTGATGTACGGATGTCAACACACCGCGCAAGCCACGTCTGATTTAACAATATTTGTTAAACATGGCACAGCACTAGTAAGAGGGATTAGGAAAGATGATAGAGTGAAACAATAAAGCGCACTTACTATGCCCTAGCTTCCTTCCATGTTGCTTTCCATTGTTTACTTTCCTGATTTCTGTCCAATGGTGACATCATCAGTGCTAACCCTGCTTTATAGTGCCACCAGACACGCAGCCGTGGTGAGACAGAGCCTGAGATTAGAGCCAGCTTTCTGCCAGTGGGAAATGCTGGTTGTAAGTGGGTCAATCCATGTTTGAAAAACATGTGTAAACCCGCTATGTTAAGAGAGACAGAGGCTAAGAAGACACTCACAGGAATAAACATGTTCACAGAATAACGGCCTATTTTGTCTGTAGCAAAGACTAGAGGTAATGAATCCCGAAGTCCTTTCATTCTAATCTTGAGGGTCTTAAACCATGCTCGTGTTTTATTTGCAAAACTATTGCCTAAAAGAGCTACAGTAGATGTGATGTATGTCAATTGCAAATAATTAGTCAAAAAAGAACTAAATGATTCTAACGCAATGTCTACGCATTTTACTACCGAAAAAATAATTTACTGCACCTGCTTACAGTTAAACCTGCTGCTTTTATTGTAAGTTTAACTTTTAAAATAAATTGTTTTAAGGGCTATTTTGAATTGACAATAACACGTAGGACTGTGCAAAGTATCAGGGGAACAGATAAAGCATGATTGGAGTTTTTCTGTGGGAGAGAAGAGGCCAACTTCCTAAATCCAATAAATGAATCATTCTTCAGAAATTGGTAACCCTATGTGTAACCTGGTTGTATTTCTCTTTTGTTATAATTACACAAAATGTTTTTATTTGGTTATTTGCATTTTTACTCACCTGACTGAAACACCTCTAGAAAATATGTCATTGTTTTCAACTGTTTGACTTTAAGAGTGGAAGCCCCTTTTTTTATTTCTTCTTCTGTGGTATTGGCTTTAAATTGTTCGCACCCCTTAGACCCTCCCCTTTTGTCATGTTGTCCTGTGGGAGAGGTGTGTGCTATTTAATTTTCATCTGAATAAATTCAGTTTATTTATAGATCTATTAAGTTAATTTTTGTTATGTACTTCTGTTTTGTGTAGGCAGCCTTTAACACGATTGTTTTCTTGTGTATTGTTCTCATCAGGTACAATAAATTGAGAAACCGTCCTTTTAAAGAAAAACTGTCACTGCCTGATCACTTAATAAAACCAGTACAATGCAGGAAGGATCCGGTTACATATGCTGATAGATAAAATGATCTTTTTGATCCATATAGAAATAGGATGATGTGTTATCCCTCCAAGAGAGAAAATACTTATACGATATTTTGTGTATAAGATTTTCAATTTTGATAATTGTGTAACATTATATACTTGTTTGAGTTCAAATAAATAATTTTGTATCATTTTTATTGCATCAAAAAAATTTAATTATTGAATTACAATTCAATAAATTAATTTAAAAGATGGCGCTATTACGCTTTTTGTTACTTACTGTGTGCGCTGGTAGTGGATTTAACAGAGGAGACACATATTTTGAGCTGAGTTGGCTCTAAACCTGTTCCCGACCAAGTGAAGTTCACTGGGTCAATTTCCACAGTAACCAACTCAGACTGAGCGCTAATCAGCTGTATGAGACCAAAATGAGAACAAATAAACAGTGCTTTGCTACTTAGAAAATGTATTGAGTTAAGCTACAAGTTATTCTAGATTAAATTAAGCTTCACTAGACTGAATCTACCCACCGGAGACATTTAGCAGGCTAAGGCTAAAACATCAAACTTATGGTGTGTTCACACCAAATGTGTTTTGGGCATCAAAATGTCTGATTTACATGCAAAGTCTACAGGGGACGGCGTAGAAGTCCAGCGGTTTGAGCACTGGAAGAGGCGCATCCGAGTGCTGTAAAACAGTTTAGAGATGTTATTTAGAAAAATAAACAAGTTATAGTTACTTTGCCAAAAACATATTTATGCTGGTACTTTATCTAATATGTCAGGTAATTTGAATAACTCCTGTAATCAGAACTTTAAGTGAAATATTCAAAGCTTCATATTAATTAATGAATATTAAAAACATATTCATGTGAAACATGACATGTCGGTACGTGATGTTGGGCAAAAGAGAATAATTATGTAAAGCGGATTATGTTTTTGTTAGAATAGAAAAAGAGTTAAGCAGATTAGATGTTTGAAAACATCAATGATAGCCTGGAACTTGTTACCTATGAAGCAAAAAACAGAAAAAAAAAACATTTTCAAGCAATTTGCAAAAAAAATAAAAAATTAATTTGCAATAAATTCACACAATTTTTCTTTAGAAAGGATGCGACTGAATCAAGCTCTGCTCCTGCATCTCTTTCCTGTCTGTGTTCAAGGGATGCTGAACACCTGGACATTGCAGATCCTAAGCCAGTCAAAATGACCAAAGCCTACCTCAGCTCTTTGCTGGTGAATGGGTGAATCTTTAAAACAGGAGTTTAATTTTAATTTAAATGTTTTCAATTCTTTTTCTGTGCAAGTACAAGGAAATTGAAGTTATGTGAATTTTTAAAATGCAAAGCTCTGCCACAGCCAACTATTGTTAACTTATGCCTTATTTATGAGTTACCTGTATTGCTCTGGGGCAGATTAATTACAGTTTTGATAGAGGAGAAAGGAGCATTATTCACTATTATCACCAACTCATTGTCATGCACACTACAGGTGTTGAGGCTGGAAGGAGAGCCCTTACCTCTAAGCCTGCTTCAGCACAGAACTGAAAATGGATCAGTTAAGCATAAGGTTGTGTGGTTACTGGAATTAAATTCAGCTAAAGATTTTTCCCAAACCTCCAGAGATCACAAACGTTGTTAGAACTACCTATAGTTTGTAGCATAATATATAATAGATACTCAATATAACAAAATGTAATCTTTATTAAAATAAAAGTATAAATAAACTCAGTGAGTTTTACATCCTATCCAGATGTAATCGCTGTTTATTTAACATGTTTACATTAATTTCACTCAACCCTGATTGAAATTAACCTTTGGATAGAATCAAGTGGTTTTACATGCATCTTGTTTTCATCGTGATGTTCATCAACATGCATCAACACAATTAACTTTTCTTTAATATAAGCACAGCTTCTATATTGGGCTTTCTAAACGAGCAATTACAAATATTTTAATTAATTTTACTGGTGTATGCAGCAAAATGTCAGCAAAAAATGAAAAAAATAAATAAATGTTACAAAAATTTCTGGTAAGCAAGCTAAGCTAGAGGTTTAGAGTTTTTAGCCCTTTTTGGCCAGTTTTTACGGTATAAATGAAAAAAGAAAATGGTTGGATGATATATGAAATTATGGGGAACTAATATATACATGCATGGTTTGATAGGGATAAATGAATGTATAACCTATGCTATGAAATAAAGCCTGAGAGTAAATATTCCCCCCACACCAAAATTTGTAATTCTACATTTTTTTCCTGAAGTCTACCAACCTGTCTGGCTGGTTTTCTGTTTAAACAAATCTAGAATGTTCTGTACATTGCTCTCCCCATCATCTCTTACCTTCTTGATTTTGATAACAGCCTCTCGGGTCTCTGAGTCGGTTGACAGTTCAAACATGCTCATTCCATCTCCATCGATGAGGCGGTAGTTAACAAGTCCGTTGTCTTCAAGATCAGGGTCTTTGGCCTTAAGGCGGCCAACCTCCTCTCCCGGCACCTTGTCCTCTGACACTGACATGGAATACACACCTGGTAGGAGCAAAAGAAAAAAGAAAATCATTTGCCTGGCTGGTCGCCGTGGTCACGGCTTGCTTTGGTATTCAACACCTTGGAACGTATTTGCAGGAGTCCTGCCCAGCTGCCAGCATGTTTGCTGGTTATGGCAGGGTCAGTTTTGGAGGGCAGCAGGGTATTAACTAAATATACCATCTGCCTCATATGGACCCAATGGTTATTAACATCTCCTCTGGTGTTAGGCGTATGTGTGTGTGTGTGTGTGTGTGTGTGTGTGGTTTTCAGAGAAAGAGAGATAGAGAGAGAGGGGGGGGTGAGAGAGCACAAATATCCAGATCTTGATTTTCAGAAAGCAGGAGCACTCGTATGTTTTTTACCATTCCTTATCTTACCTTTGTCATCCTACTGTTCTGCCTCATCCTTCTGTCCCTACTCATACATTTTCTACTCTCATTTTCCTTCAATCTCTGTTTCTCTTGTCATAAAACGATTCCCTACTATTGAACCGATCATCTCCTTTCTGTAGTTTGTCCCACACCCCTCTACCTCGCCTCCACCCACTCTGGGATTTTAAACAGGAGTTATTTCAACTTGCGCATTATTGAAACGTTTATCCTGCTCACCCAGTTGTAAGCTATCTTTTGAATTATGAAGTTTCTTTAGTCATGTAACATCTAAGAAAATGCATTCAGAACATCAAATAGAAATATTCCATAAAAACAAGACATGTAACTTCAATTCCCACCATCTTAAAGGTTTTTACTTTTCTCCAACACTCTGAATCGATCCCTTCCAAATCTAAACTAACCTTTCATCTCTTTATTTGTACCTGCAGTATTGATGACAACATATTGCCTTTTTTTTTTGTAAACCCAAACATTATCACCATGATGATCAATGCAATATTTACAAGTGTGCAGAAATAAATGAGTAGAGGACAAAGCACTGTCTCAGGCCTTTCTCTCGCTGTTTCCCTGAAGCTTTCCTGGAGTGTAAAACCATCATGGAAGCCACCATCATGGCTCATGTCCAACATATTTATCAACTTTACTTCGTTAAGGATGGCGTCGGCTTGTTTAAGTTTCCTAGGTGTCCTAAGGATCCTGCCCATCTCTACTGTGCTTTTTTAAATTTCCCTCCTTAGTTCCATCATTGAAATAATTGCTTGGTTTGTCAGTGAAACAGTAACGTGACTAATGCATCAATAATGTATCATGTGCCGCTGCCAACAGCCGTACCTCGCCCCATGGGAGAGAGAGAGAAAATTGAGCCAGACAATTGTTATTAAGAACCTGTTGACATTGCTCCCGGGGTTTCATGGGTGTGGAGTTCCACATCCATGCCCAGATCATATTGAGGTAAGAGAAATAAACAATAAAAAATATTCAGAAAAGAATTGGAGGCTGATGTGGAGCTTAAATCGTAGATTGTTGCTGTCCCAGATGAGGCGCCAAAGCAAATTTTTTATTAGCTTATGAAATACCAACAACAGACCCGTTAGTATCTCTGCATTCTGTATCTGTTCCATCATCCAACCCCTCTCCATCTCTCATTTTCTTTTGCCCTCTCTTCTCAATCTTTGCTCATTCTCACTTCTCCTCCCTTTCTTCCTCTAGTTCACTTCATGCCTTCCTCTCCGGTTCTCCCTACCCTTTTAGGTTAAAGCTTAATTTATTCTTCTCCCTTGCCCTTTTCCTCCTGCTCTTCCCCTGTCCTATCCTTGCTTGTCCTAAGCAGCTTAACTTCAGTGACTTTTGGCAGTTGACTTAAACATTATATGGCAGAACACACAGCCAGCTTTGTGTACCTAACGACAGACAAAAATGTAGTGCATATACAACACATTTAACTTTACGTTCCCAATCATCCCACAGCCGCAGAAATGACTTTCTCTTTTTTATGATGTTGTTTAGCATTGTATAATCCTTACTTAGAGAGTAATGGGGTTTATGATTACAAGTGAAATAAACAGGAGGCTGACAGTGAAGTAGGGGTGGGTATTGCCAAAGAAGTGACGATTCGATTCGAATCACGACTCACAGGCCACGATGCGATTCTATCACGATGCATCACGATACTTGAATTATTGCGATGCATTGCAATATTTTCTCCTCAATGTTTTGTTTTTGAATGACTCGGCGCAGTACCCCGCAGCCGGAAATGCTTGTGACACAAGGCAGCGTGCGTCAACACATCCGCAGCGACATCTACTGGACTGGAAGTTGTATTACACTTGTTTTTGGCTGATGTTCGCCAACCATTCATGCAGTTTTATTTATTCATTTCTTTAAATTAATAATCGATACTTGGCGTCAAGAATCGATGCAGTAGATCACGAAAATTAGAATCACGATGCATCATCATGACGATTATTTTGCACACCCCTACAGTGAAGGGGTTATGAACGAGGGGGTGAGACCCCAGGCCGGGGGTCGAACCCGAGTCGGCCACGTCGAGGACTAAGCCCTCCATACATGGGTCGTATGTGCTAACCACTGCGCCATCAATATGCAGTATTCTAAAGTTTTTACAAGATTTGAAATAAAATTTGTTAAAGTATCGACCTGCATTTAAGATAAAAAAGACATGAGTTAAGTAAGAAAAAAAGAGAAAAACTTTTCTAATGACCAAAACACTAAATCAAACTATATATTCCAATAAAAAAAAAAAAGGAAATACTTGCAGGAGCAAGTACTTTTTGTGCTACACTTACTTTTTATTTCTACATTTGTACGCTGTTACAGAGTTGACATCTAACTTTCTAGAGTACTATAATTTCCCTATGATCCACTTCTAATGTAGTTGAAAGGGAAGCTTTGCAACAACTTATGCCAGGCAAGAAAGCATCAGATTTACTTACTTCTTATTGCAGCTACAGGTTTCCAAGCTTGTGAAGCTGTGAGTGCTTTTTATCTAAAAACTTAGAGCAGCCTCTTGTTATAAATAAAGGCCTTAAATGAAGGACCTGTGAAGCCTTGGTCAGATTGCTGCGAGAGTGATGGCTTTCTGATGAATACTCATAGTTGTTATTTTTCTGGCATGTTCTGTCACTGAAAGCAGTGAGCAAAATTAGATTGGATTGAATTAGAATATTATTGTAAATATAGGCACAGCAAATAATATAGAAAAAAACAGAATAAAAAAAGTTCCAATACACCCACTTTAAACCATGTGGAAAGCCTGTTGGTACAAGTTTAATCTTTTAAACTGGCAAATGATCAGCTAATATCAAATTAAAAGTAGATGAAACCTTTGGTATTTTAATGTAAGTTAAGTACAAGGTAACTCTGCGAGAAAATTTTCACCATTTTGTCAACATTCTTGGTTGATCGTGTAATCGTATAAATGAAATGTCTTCAGTGAAACTTTTTAAGCAATGGCAACGATTCATTTATAAGTGATGTTGTAAGTAATGTCAGGCTGTCGACATAAAGTGAATTTAAAAGATAAAAATCAAGTCTTGAATAATAAGACTGGTACTATGGTAGGTAATCTTTCACTAATATTTTTACAAACTCGGATGGACCAGTTGTAGCCTTACATAGATGCTTAGTTTGAATTCAGCGGCTGTGTACTTGGAAGGCCAGATTCGTCGGCCAATTATATCCAATCCGAACCATTTAGGGGCTGGTTCGGATTGGAAGACTCCTCGTTATGCGGCTGACAAATGCAGCCTTCTTTTCCCAGTTTTGAAGGATGTGTCTGGTGTACCCTACATAGCCTTCGTATCGCGTATTTCCAGAAAGCCCGCTGCTCCGTGCTCAAAGAAAAAAGGTAAATGTTGCCAAACAGTGGTGAATATTGTAAGTGTAGTTTAATGTAATACAATAACACGAATAGTTCCATCTGAAATTTATGCAAATATATTTTTTTAAATGGTTATTGACTCAGATATGTGGCAGGTAATGTTTGGTTTATTAAAAAGATTTATTTATCTCTGTGCAAATGAGGTTGGCTGACATTTATGCAGAGATTCTAATATCTGCAGTGTGGAGACTATAAATCTGATATTCGTGACATTCGTGGTACTGTGGCTGAAGCTGCTTGAAAATATTAGGACCCAGAACAGTAGTGAGAAGTTCAGTATCCATTCTTTGCCTGCTCAACTGTCACAGTTGCTATGTGACAGAGCTTATGGGCGGATACAGCTGAAGAAGGCTGGACATGTTTGATCCAGTCAAAACTCTTCCAGCCTCCATATTTTCGCGGTCCCCAAAGGACCCAGTTCAGGTAGACCAGGGCCGTTTCTCAATATGCGTTCTTGAGCGTTCTCGTGTGCTTGTGACACATCATCAGCCACAGCCCGAGCACTGTTCCAATTGCAGAGAACGCCAGACCTAGAATGAACCAAATCCCTGGATATTGTTCTCGCCCCGCCCTATTTACCCAGCATGCATCAGAGCAGACTTGTCGGTTCTTGAGATTGACAGCTGTCCCAGCATGCACTGCGGCAGCAGCTTTCAATGGAGCGCTCCATTGAAAGTTAAAAGTTCTCTTTTCTGTTGCTGTTGTTCAATAAAAGTATGTTTGAAGATTATTTGAGGCGAGAATATTATACTTTAAAGCGTCACTATATGGTCCTTTTACCTATTTAATGCGTAATTAAAAAAAAGATTTCTGAAGTTGAGAGGACAGCGGCAACCAGTGGAGCTCCGAAGCTGACGGCAGCCAGGGCTAACCGTAGCCTGTCTGCAGCAGCCCTCTCTCTGCATAGCCATGTGTGAAGGACCGCTGGCTCTGATGGCAATTTTTTTTCTTTTATTTGGCAAAATGTTCATTTGATTTGTGTTTATCTGACTGTGTTCATTATTATTCCCCCCCAAAAATAAAAAAAAGTCAGAATTCATTATTATCTAAAGACTATTATTAACAGGAGGTGAAATGCAGCTCTAGACGAGCCGAGCATGTGGTGCGTGCTCCCGTTTTCACCAAGTCCACACTTTCCTGTGTTCTTCTCAAGAACATACTTAGTGAGAACATGAGTCTGTACTCGCGTTCTAGTGAATTGAGAAATG